TGAAATAGTTTGAATGACAGACTTCTTGTTGAAGCAGCAAATTTTATCATGATGGGCTTTCACTGCTAAGGGTTGAGCTGGTGTTTCTCTTTTTGCTTTGTCTGAGTTGAAGGTATCTTGTCTACTAGAGGAAGAACATGGTAGAATAATTGCCTAAAGGATACTTATTTGAACTTCCTTTCTTATTTACCACTTACGCTCTAAAAGAGCTTGCAAGTTCACTTGTTTGTGTTTTGTGATGTAAGCAGTTGCTCTTGCGTAGTTACTGTAACTTTGAATGGGCTTATAGGTGCCACTTTCATTAACACAAATGCAGAAACTAAAGAGTAATATTGACAGAAGGATGTGGGAGCTCTCTAAAGTGAGGTAAGGGAATTTGAACAATGCAAACAAAGTATGTTAAATGGGAAGAGGGGCGCGGAAACTGAAAATCCAGCTTCCTATTAAAATAAAGCAATAGCACCTTATTTTTATTGGAAGTTATGTATTTGATGTTTTGGTTTTTGTTCAAGCCTCAGATTAGGTTTTTTTAAAGTTTGTTTATTAATGGTCTTCAAAGAAGGGTGTGTAATATGACCGTAGTGTACCACAAGGACCTAAATAAGCCATCACATATATAGATGCTTTCAGAAATTGTGGGATAAGCTAATTCTGGAGAGTGGGTTTTTTATCATGGGGGCAGGCAGCACAATGAAGATGGCCCTGAGTTAGTCAGTATCGACAGGGATTATAATGAATTTCTTAGCTTGTTACCAATGTGCAAGTCTGCTTTCCTTCTCCGGTGCAACAGTTAGCCCAGGGAGAATAATTGCCCAGTGAAGTAAAGGAAGAAATAACCAACAACCAGTAGAGAGAATGGATGTGGCCTCGAGAAAGAAAACTGTTGAAAGAAAATTGAGAATGCTTCAGGGAATTTCACCGTTTTACCTGAGAGAGCCCAGATTGAGTGGATTTGACTTTGTAGCTAAAATGCCAGTGTTATTTCATAAAAAGGTAGGCATCTGAATCCATTTGGACTGAAGAATGATAGTGGTTTTTTATTTGTTTAGAAATTTAATATGCTTACAATGATTGCTTTTTGTTCTGTGTAGCACAGTGCTGAGAGCTAGATGGCTAGTGTGATGTGCTATACAAAAACTTCTCCAAGTGCTGTTTTACATTAAGAAATCCTGTTTTACAGTCTTTCCAGGATTGTAAGGTGTATTTAAAAGCACATCTTCTGATTCTTTTTTTTTTTTAAATCTTTCAGAACAAGAGATTTTACTGGTTTTCTCACTTGAGTTAACTCTTCAGGGCCACCTCAGATGTGAGAACAAACTAGATAACACTTATTTTATGCATTAACAGGATTGTTTACTGTGAATTGAAGATAATGGTATTTCATAGTGTCATTAAAATAACTTATTTTAACTTATTTTATCTATGTCTGTGGTGATGACATAGTTATCCCATAGATATTTTATGCATAAAAGCATCCAATTTCAGTCAGCCCTTAGGTTGAGCCTGCAAAAATAGGGCTCTAAAACCCATATATATATATATATATATATATTCATATATATAAACAATCAACAAGTCTTTAATCATGTAAACCCAGACAGGCTGAGAGGTATAGTTTGTTCTTCCAGGCAGTAGGCCATTGAAGAAAACAGTAAGCTTTTGTAATAAATCTTTTTGCAGTTCCCCGTTCCACAGCAGATTCTGATCTTTTTCCCACACTGACAGGTTGATTATCCCACAAATGATCCCATTAAAGCTGGTGGTGGTTACTGAGAAATGAGGCATTACTCGGTATGTCAGAATTGGGTGTCCATGTTTGTTTTGTAATTCAGAGTTTGCAAAGGCTTATGTGTGCTATGCAAAATTAAGGATTCAATAAATGGATGACATTCATAATGATGGAAGATGATAGAAGTAATATTTTACCCACCTTTGTTTCATATAAAAAGATTTTCAGGACTGAAGGCTTGACAATTTGAAGGCAGACCAGCGAGGGGAGCTCTTACCAATATTTTAAACTGCTTTTTTAAAAATTGCTGCAGCATGGGCAATGGTGGGTCAGAGACTCACCATGCTTGAGAACATTAATGTCTTTCTCTCTGGATATGCTTT